CTCTCCTGCCTCCGAGTCTGGACTGCCCTCTGCCCCAGCCTCTTCCTGCTCACTAAACCCTGACGCCTCTTCAGCTTCTGACACCTACTGCTCCCAGTTCTGCCCCTCTTCTCCCTCTGGCCACTCATCGTCATCTCATCACCAATCCCCTGGCTCTGAGCCTTATTCCCTTGGGGGTTCCCCAACTGATTCCTCCCACCATCCCTCTGCATCCAGCCAGTCCATGACACCAGATAGAGAGAGAGGCCTAGAGGGACACATTTGGCATAACTGATGGGCTCATATCTCCCCATCCTTCCAGGGGGGGGGGAGAATAAAACACCTCCATCATCACCAAGTTTCCAACCATCAGCAAGAATAAAAAGGGAAATTTCCTAGAAAGGTGAGCCCCAAGTCAGGCCAGAATCATTCTGCATTAGGGTTAAATGAAGACCCAAATGCCTGGATGAACAGGAATGATTAAAGGCCAATGACACTGGCGCCAGGCAAGTCCTGTTTGTTGACGTCATTTAGTCCTAAGAATAAATGTGAAAATTAAAAACCAAAAGTAAATAGAAGACAACACAGAGAACAAGAAAGAAAGGAGGTCTCTTTACCGAGAGCAAGAAGATTAAACATTCACTGATGGATGTGTGAAAGCCGCAAGAAAAGAGGAGGCAGGAATTCAACAAAGATATAATATACAGGAGGTTACAGGACAAAAACTATTTTTAAGCCTCATTCTCCTTCCCTCGGGAGTTACATGAGGATGATGAAGAGAGCTGGGGGGGGGGAGGGCAGGCACAAGTATGGCTCTTCATGTAAATGAGCTCTTGCCTCATGAACACGACTATTTGCATGCCCTAATTCTTCAGGAGCAGTGCTGGAGAGAGAATTCAGACTCTTAAAAAGAAAAAAAAAAAACCCTCAACTATTAATTTAAGAGGAAAAGAACACATTCAGTTCCTGGTCCTCATGGAGGTAAAGGTATGTGTGAAAGGGTGTGGGCAACAACTGCTGAAGGTTAACCGACATTCCCACTGGTTGTGGGCAGGACCTCAGTACCACACATAGCTTCTGGTCATTGTGCCAACTAGCAAAACATTCATCAGTGTCAGATTTGTTTCTGTTTGTGTACATATCAGAGGCGATGGGGGTGTCATTACCCTATGTACCTTGGCTAGATAGGGATTAGGGATGGCTTAAGGACTCCAGTCGGCGTGAAACAGATTTAGAATAATACAATCAAAGAATTGTAGGGTTGGAAGGGACCACAAGGGTCATCTAGTCCAACGCCCTGCAATGTGGGAATCTTTTGCCCAATGTGGGGTTCCAAACCATGACCCTGAGATTAAGAGTCTCATGCTCTACTGACAGAGCTATCCAAGTGTGAGAAACAATGCAGCAAACACCAGTATTTTTAAAAAGAAGTCAAGGATAAATGTGCATTTGGGATAAATGTAATGTGAACCGAGATTAAAAACCCAGCCCTGGAAATGAAGCGAGTGCCTAGTAAACAGGTGTATTAACAAAGCTATAAAAGGGCTGCTTATCTGTGGGGATTAACTTGTTTTTCCCCTGTTAGAGATGCATTTACTTTGCTTAGATTCCAAACTATGTCCATACAATACCTGAGGAGTAAATTATTTAATAGGCCTCTTTGTGTACACAGATCAGGCCAGATCAAATACATTGTGCACTATATCTTGTTTGGCCTTTTACACAACTCAGACAGGGATAGAATTTCTTATTTCATAATTTTCCGGGTCAATCTGATGATTTAAAAATTAGATGGTTGCTGAACAATCATAGACAAGTTTATGACCTATACCAGTGGTTTTCAACCGGAGTGCCGTGGCACCCTGGGGTGCCTTGAATGTTGGTCAGGGGCACCGCAGGCAACACTGGCCTCTGTCCTTCTTTCCTTCCCTCACGCCTCTGATGCCCTCTTGTGTCTCTGCCTCTCAATGGCTTTTGCACAGCTGCTTGTTGCAGCAGCCTTGGCTACAGGCCCCTCTGTTTGGGGTGGGATGAGGCAGCTCAGAGACCAGGAGACCACGTGGCTGCCCAGAAGACTCCAAGGAGAGGGGAGAGGAGGCTGAGGGAACACTCCACAAGGGAGGATGTTCAAAAAAGGGTGAGAGTCTGCCAGCAAGGGGTGGCATAACTGGGCTCCTGAGCCCTACAGGGGTGCCATAGAAAGAGTATAGTTGGTCAAGGGAGCCGTGGGCTCAAGAAGGTTGAAAACCTCTGACCTATACAATAGGTTTGAACACAGTAGCAGTGACAAAAGCTATTGCTGTTTTGATTCAAATCAAGCGTCAAGGAAATCTCTTTTTAATCTAAACGATTCAGATTCATTTTGTATTGTTTTTAATCCTTTTATTAGTTGCTCTTTTGGTACTGTTTTTAGAACTATTTTCATGGTATGTTTGTGAATCATAGCACTGGAGAGCAGGAATGCTTTGCCCAACATGGGGCGTGAACCTATGACTCTGAGATTAATGGTCTACCAGCTGAGCCATTGCAGTTCCATTGCCCCATGACAATAATTAAAGGTAAAGGGACCCCTGACCATTAGGTCCAGTCATGGCCGACTCTGGGGTTGCGGCGCTCATCTCGCTTTACTGGCCGAGGGAGCCGGCGTACAGCTTCCGGGTCATGTGGCCAGCATGACTAAGCCTCTTTTGGCGAACCAGAGCAGCGCACGGAAACACCATTTACCTTCCCGCTGGAGCGGTACCTATTTATCTACTTGCACTTTGATGTGCTTTCAAACTGCTAGGTTGGCAGGAGCAGGGACCGAGCAACGGGAGCTTACCCCATCACGGGGATTCGAACTGCGACCTTCTGATCGGCAAGTCCTAGGCTCTGTGGTTTAACCCACAGCGCCACCCGCGATATCTTGCAGTTCCAAAAACTGATATGTTTTAACTTACTTTTGGATTGGTTTTTTTGTTATTAATATTCATAGAATCCTAGAACTGTCGAGTTGAAAGGTACACCCAGGGGGTAATGCAGTCCACCTCCACCAATGCAGGAATCACAGCTGAAGAACCCCTGACAGATGGCCACCCAACCTCTGCATAAAAACCTCCAGCGAAGGGGAGTTCCTTCCCACATGGTCTGTTCCACTATCAAAACAGCTCTTACCATCAAAAAGTTCTTTCAAATGTCTAGTTGGCATCTTTCTTGTAATTTGAACCCATTGGTTTTGCTCTTACTTTCTGGAGCAGCAGAAAGCAAGCTTAAGAACAAAGCAAGAGCCTGCAGGATCAGGCCAATGGCTCATCTAGTCCAGCATCCTCTTCTCAAACCAGCAAGCCAGAGCCTTTCCCCTTCCTGTGGTTTCTAGCATCTGGCATTCAGAAGCGCTGCTGCCTCCAACAGTGGAGGCAGAGAATACCCATCATGGTTAGTAGCCATCAATTGCCCTCTCCATGGATTTGCCCAATCTTCTTTTGAAGGCATCCAAGTCGGTGGCCATTGCTGCTTCCTGTGTTTTCCGTCGTTCAACTATGTGCTTGCTCCATCTTCCACGTGACAGCCCATATTGTAATGACTATTGGCTACAAGCAATAAAAATATGACTACCTGACAAGGTAGCTGGGGGCCTTTTAAGTTATTAAGTAGTGTTTTCTTGGTATGTGTGTGTGGTGTAGCGTTAGTAGGAATCAGTTTTTAACCAGCAGGGTCCCCCCCCCCCGGCTCATTGAGGAAACTGCAGTTAGAGGACACTTAAGGGAGCTTAAGATCCATGTGCACTTCCCTCTCTCTGCCACTTTGCTCAGCAATCTCCGAAATCAATAGCAATTGCATAATTTCCTCACTTGCCTGCGGGTGGTGGGCAGGAGCAGAAACGCTGGAGAGAATCAGCATCACAGCAAAGAAACAAACAGTGCAAGCATCCTCTCCCTCTCCATTGTAGGAGGGCATGTAGGGGAGAAAAGGGATGGGGGTTTTTGAGTTAATTCAGTGGCAAGCAAGGGAAACCCCCGTGTGACGAGCAACTTTCTGCTCCTACCCACCATTCACGTGTGACAGCTCCTTGGAAGGCTGTGCATGAGATAATGTGGCCCCTGAGCTCAGATAGCTTTTACTCCAGGGATGGGGGACTTACGGCTGACTCCAAAGGAAGCAAAGCTGCTTTCATGGAATTTTTGGAGGCAATATATGGGCTATACCAGCAACAGAGCCTGCTCCGGTTATTTTTTATGATCTGCAGTACCTTTGTGTGTGTGTGTGTGTGTGTGTGTGTGTGTGTGTGTGTATGGATTGTTTTTATAAGAAATGTATTAAGTTTAAAACACAAATACCTGTAGTATTACTTTCTAAGTATGTAAAATGGACTTAATTCGCTGTTCATATGTCTTGAGACATGTGCGGAAGGTGATTAATAAATGCTAATAAAGTTCCTGTAGCAGTTATCCAACACAGGCCATATTCCAATGAACAAATCTCAGCTTGATACGATGAGATACAAATGAACTTCATGCACCCATATACAGCCCCTTTGATCCCATTTTACTCCCCCTTTTTATGAGTGAACAAGACAGGAAGCTGAAGGTAACCACAGCTTCCTGTTACACCCAAACAAGGAGACTGTGGTTGATGGCTTCCAAAAAAGCCAGGCTCTAGAAGGCAACTACCATGGTTTTGTATTCCAGCTTGTTTGAGAGTCACTAACCTGGTTCAGATGTAACAGGAAACTGTGGTTAGCTGAAGCCTTCTCCCCTCTCATGCAAAGGGCAGTGGAGAAGGAGCAAAGGGTTTGCATGTGGGTTCATGAAGCTTGTGCATGTCACAGCTTATTAAGCCAAGATATGATCACTCAAATGCAGCTCATGTTTGAGTGCTGACTGCAACTCATAAAGTGCCATTTTAGGGAGCGCAGCATAATGCAGTACAATATTGTTGAGGGAAATAATGAATTCTTCCTTCAAGGAGCAGAGACTCTCATAGGAAAAGCATGCTGCTTTAGGAACTGGACCAATACTGAAAGTACAAGCTTAGCAAGAAGCAAAAATTGCATATGGAATTTATTAGATAAAAAAGAAGAGTGTTGGGGTTTTTTGACGGGGAGAAAGGTATTTCCCCTAACAGAAAAATAAAGAGCATTGGCAAAAAAGTGCAGAATCACCCTGTTTGGTCCAGAACCATGAAGATTAGAGGTGGAGAGGATTCAGGCTGGAGGGGCAGATATACAACACAGACGGACGGACACACTCACCCCTTTCCTTGACAAAAAGGCTCAGGTGGCAAACAGCACAGGCAAAGCAAAGGCAGTCAAGGTTTAAATGTAAATCAAGCCAAATCTCTGTTCTTCCAGGCTGCCACTCCAGACAACGGTTTTGTGCCACACAAGGCATTCATGGGCATTCAAGAGAGAGCTTTTAGGTGAGAATATAATAGGCTGCAACATCCTAGCCTCTGCGCCCAGCATCAATCTCAAACAGGACCATTACCACTGTTGTCTAAAAGTTATCTTGCTGCTAGAGGAGGTGAGTGGCTGACTCCTTTGGCTCTGCGGAGAGTAGCGTCGAAGTTGCAGTGTCCCATCCGCCAGGTTCCCAGGGTCATGTTTCATTTCTCTTTCTTTAATTCTGTAGCCCAGACGCCTGTAAGAGAGAACGGAGGTTGGAGAAAAACTGAGATGGAATCCAAAGCAAGCGGCTGAAATTGTTGCAAATGTTAAAATAACTTGAGAATCAGAATACCTTGCGGATCTACTGTCATTCCTCCAATTTATCTTCTGCTTCCCCCTGCACCGGAGGGGCACACGACAAAAATTCTCACCTGAAGTCTGTGGCTTTCTTGACACAAGGACCTTTACAGCAGGTGTGGGGGACCTCTGGTTCTCCAGATGTTGCTGAACTACAACTCCCATCATCCCTGGCCATTGGCCATGCTTGCTGAGGCTGATGGGAGTAGTGGTCTGACAACATCTCGAGGGCCAAAGCTTCCCCAAACCTGCTTTATAACTATCTAATCAGGGACGTTGCTAGGGAGTAGCCAGGCCCCAGGTCTTCTGTGCTGGGATCTCTGGATAACCCTGCTCCTTCCTCCCCTTTTATGAAAGGACTATTTCTTTTCTTTTCTCTCCAATTCTTAATGGGCTGTTGAGCATGCTGCAAAGTGTGTTTGCATCCATACAGACACATGAGCATGTACTAATTCAGTGCAAATGTGTGCACCGCAGCACATGCACACCCCCGCCCCGCCATGTCCCTGCAGCCTCTTTATTTTTATTTTATTTTATTTGAGTACCTAGCAACGCCCCTGCTTCCAGTCCCACAGAGGGGGAAAGAAACGTCACCTAGAGCTTAGCAGAGTGTGAGGCAATACCCAACAGTGCGGGGAAGTTGTTCTCGGAGGTCATCCAGGCCCCGCCGTCCACCACCAGGGTTGTGCCGCTCACGTATGAGGCGAGGGGGCTGGCCAGGTACAGGACGCTATGGGCAATCTCCGTCTTGTTCCCCACCCGCTGGAGGGGGATATTCCGAAAGAGGTTTTGTGCTTCCGGGTGAGGCTGAACTAAAAACAAGAAGGAGGAAAGCAATGTCTTTGCTTCAAAATGGCATATATAATTTTTATTTATTGCATTTGTAGTGCACCTTTCCTTCAAAGAGCTCAAAGTGGCCTATGTAGTTCTCCTCCCCCCTCCCCATTTTATCCCCACAACAGCCCTGTGAGGCAGGTTAGGCTTAGAGTGAGCGAATAGCCCGAGATCACCCAGGGAGCTTCAAGGCCGAGTGGGGACTGCTAGGTCCTAGTCCAACACTCCAACCACTGCGCCACACTGGCTCTAAGTGGTGTACATCATAAACAGTATCGTTAAAACAAAAAATGCAACATGAAAACCAGCACACAGTGGTACCTCAGGTTAAGTACTTAATTCGTTCCGGAGGTCCGTTCTTAACCTGAAACTGTTCTTAACCTGAAGCACCACTTTAGCTAATGGGGCCTCCTGCTGCCGCTGCGCCGCTGGAGCATGATTTCTGTTCTCTTCCTGAAGCAAAGTTCTTAACCTGAAGCACTATTTCTGGGTTAGCGGAGTCTGTAACCTGAAGCGTATGTAACCTGAAGCATATGTAACCCGAGGTACCACTGTAGAAGAATACAAATTGAAACCTGGTCCCAAGTTGTTCAGAGCTTTAAACGTTAACAACAAGGCCTTGTTGTTGCAGGTCCCTCAGCACAGATGTGCCATCTAAACCAGGATTCTGTTTTCAGTGGCAAACCAGATTACTCTGGGAAGCCCACAAAAAAAGAACAAAGTCCAACATCTCCTGAAGAACTTCTTCACGTTTCCTAAGCACTAAGACCTTATTCCAATGGTGGTGCCTCAAAGGGAGGAGAGCCCCCCTTTTAAAAATGGCCTTTCTTTTCTCTCCCTCCCTTTTGTACCCCATTGCTTAGCTGCAATGGGGGAGAACCCCCATTCTCCTCAGCTGATTGGCTTACAAGCAGAGAGGGGGCAGTCCAATTGTATGCATGTGGTCTGCACCCCTCTTAGCCACCCCTGTTGTAAAAGCAACTCCGAATGCTCCATGATGTTTGAGTATAAATAACATATTGTCCGATTCCCTGCTTGGCACAGAAGATTGCTGGAAGTGTTTCACTGCAAGTTCATCGAGTCTCAGTCTAACAAGTCTTGATTCAAGTCATCTACTGAATTTTATTAATTCTTATGAACCATCCGCCCTGGAAATTCTAATGGATGGTATAGGCATGCCTATTTACTTTAATTTATTTACGCTGTGCTCTTCCCCCAAAGAGGTAAAGATGGCATGCATTCTCCCCCACTTTACTCCTACAACAACCTTGTGAGAGAGGTGACTGGTCCAAGGTTGCCCAGTGACCTTCATAGCTGGGTGGTCTCCCCAGCTGTTTCTTTTCCAGGTAAATCACACAGACAGCACTTCAAATTATATTTAATGCTTTACCTAAACGGCGGTGACCCTCTGTACCCGAAATAGGACCTGGCGCCAAGCTATTCACTCTGATTCCATTAGGACCCCATTCCACAGCCAGATGTTTTGTCATTGAATCTGTAAGGGAGAAGACAGACAGAGAGGATCAAGAACAAATATTGAAAAGCTAAGAATTACAGCACTAGAAAGAACTGGAAATCTAAATCTAAATCTGGTTCTTGCCCATTCACAAGGCACAATCCTCCCCGCATCAACTCTGCCAGTCTCTTGGTGATTGAAAGAGACCCTATCCACAACAAGCTGGAATGGAATTCTCCTTTTGCACAGGGAAGAATTACATTGCATGTATGTGTGTTAAATATATATATATTATTAGGACAATAAACAGAAGCAAAAGAAACAGAATTTCTCAAGACATTCAGCACTTCACAAGAAGAAAAGAAATAGTGAAACCCACCACACAGAAAACAATGAATGAAAGCCAGCTGAATTTGCAAAACCCTTGATAAGACATTGGGCTGATTCAGATGTTAATGGTTTAGTGCAGGCTTCCTCAACCTCGGCTCTCCAGATGTTTTTGGCCTACAACTCCCATGATCCCTAGCTAGCAGGACCATGGTCAGGGATGGTGGGAATTGTAGTCTCAAAACATCTGGAGGGCCGAGGTTGAGGAAGCCTGGTTTAGTGCCAGGAGCACGAGCCAAGCACTCACACACTTTCCCTTCCTCTTCCAGCACAGCTACAAGTTTGACTTTGGAAGCTATTGCTTCTGTTTTTGATTAACCATCTTGCTTGAACCTGGACAAACTGTTGAAAGGAGCTAATGTCAAACCATAATTGATGAAGCCAGCTTGTTTTCACTAACTGAAGTTAAGGTGAACCACTGTTTGGAGTTCAGACAACATGCTGAACTGCAATTAATCTAGAGCAGAACTTTCCCATAACTTCATTGTTGCCATGGCAGGGAGGGGAATCACTGCTGTAGGCTCACCGCAGTAGTAATAATAATAATACTTTCATTACTTATACCCCGCCCATCTGACTGGGTTGCTCCAGCCACGTTGAGTGGCTTCCAACATAATAAAAACACAGCAAACCATGGCTTAGCATTACATCCAGACACAGTCAATATGATAATACTATATGCATTTGCAGATGGCAACTCTTCTTTTAAAAATTCAGACAGGGAGGGCACCCATGTCCTAGAAGTGGTCTTATCACTGTGGGCCAGAAGGCTTCTCTGTTGCTCAATCTGGAAGCTGCAACATCTCTTCCAGACTGTAGGTGGTGCCAGAACACCATAACTTGCACTTGGGTGGGAGAGACAGGGAGAGGAATAAAACTTGATTAAGGGTGTAGATGAGAAGGGGAGCCAAATTGCTTACGGTACCTATGGCTGCCTTAGCTGTCCCCGCATGCACCTGGAGAGCCTGACCTCTGTAGCTCAGGGTTGCCGAGATATTGACAATGACTCCGCCATGGTCCTAGATCAACAAAATAAAGTCAGCTCTGGGAACAACGACAGAAAGGATTAACAGCAAGTGCAGGAGACACAACCCAAAATGAACATTGCTGGCATAAATAGAAACCTTCCCCCACATTCTTTTCTTGAAGGGAACGTGTCTCTCAGGTGTTTTAAAAAAAGCTCCCCTACCCCTGCCCAGGGCTATTGACCCTAGAGGGCAGGAGCTGAGGAACGTCTCTGTCCGCAGGGAGAAAAGCCTCTTACGGAGGAGAGAAACTTACACGGAGACACTTCTCATACAGCACTTTGGAGACGTTGAATGTTCCCAAGGTGTCGATCTCAATCACGGTTTTGTAGGCATTGAAGGACAGAGCACTGGCTGGGCACAGGAAGTTTCCAGCAGCATCTGGGGACAAGGGAGAGAGAGAGAGAGAGAGAGAGAGAGAGAGAGAGAGAGAGAGAGAGAGAAGCTGGAGTGAATCAGCATGGCAAGGCAGGCATGGCTGGTACAAGGGCATGCCATGGGCCTGCTGTGGCATCAGAAACCACTCCATTCCACTTCTTACTACAGGGTTGGGGAATGTCCAGCCTAGGTTTCTGATGCAACCCTTCAGGACCCCTTTATCTAGCCCCAAGTCACACCCTTCAATGGCCCTGCTTTTGCCTGGATGGGATGTTTTCTTGAACTTCAAGGATGCCTCTTGCTTGCCTGGACAAGCAAGAGAGGGGTATGTGCATCAGTGTAGCCAGGATTTTTTTTGGGGGGGGGCGGTGAAGGGGAAGGACAACCACCTGTCCTGTTCCAGAACTGAGCTATCTGCGACGTGATAAGCCATGCCTATTGCTCAGTCAGGTTTCCAGCTGCATTGCTAGAATGCATCACAACATCATTCAAGTGACCTCAGTGAGCCTTTAAATTTCAAATGTTCTAGCTTTTTTCTACTTTTAGTTAAGTATATTTTATTTATTTACTTGATTTACCGGGGGTGAGGTGGGCAGCTGGGGAGAGTATACGTTTGCAGAGCAACTAGTTTACGTTCATTGCTCTGCCCACTTTTGTCCTTGCCCCCCCCCTCGCCAAACACCCCTGGAATATGGCCCTCAGAAGGTTTCTCAGAAGGGCATGTGGCCCTCGGGCTGAAAAATGTTTCCTATCCCTGGCCTACTACTAAAACAGCCCTGCCAGCACCCTCAAGGATCACCCTCCCAGAGCATGCAACAGTGAGCAGTTTTTTCCAGCTTGCAGGCAGGTGGCCAGCAGTATGCCCCATGAATGTCCTCTGCTGATGCAAATAACTTACTGTTGACAAGGATATCAATCCTCTCAAATTCCTTGAGGGCCTCATCCACAGCTGCCATGATCATCTGTGGCTGCCTGACATCCAGCGTGAGGGGCAGGCATCGCTGGCCAGTGGCCACTGACAGTTTCTTGGCAGCCTATAAAAAAAGGAAAGAATATTCGGTAATAAATGACCACCTTCTTCCGTCTTCCTGCTGCAGCATGGTGAGCTGGACGCATGACAGACTGGGAAAAGGGATTTGTGTCAAGAATTAGGGCAAGATTTCAATGTTAAGCACCTGCTGTGCTGTTGGATGGGAAAGACCTTCCTGGTTTCAGCAACATATTGTATTGTTTAGGAAGGTTCTCAAAAGGCTTCTGTGAAACATTTCACGTACCTCTTACGTGGAAACAGAGGCTCACCTCTGAGAATCTATGATGTGGTATGTTAAGGGCTGTGCACCCAGGAGCATTTAAGATGACAACAAATATTCATGGGAGGGACCACAACTCAGTTGTAGGTAGACAATAATGGATCTTTCAGTTTTTGTTCCCTACATTCCTTATTTCCTCCAATCTCAATTCTCTGCATTTCTGCAATGATTTGGGTGGAAGATGGGGAGACCAACAGTAGGTGGCGTCACAGTCAGTGACACAGCCAACTAGTTTTAGTTTTGTCCTTCTCCCCCCTGCTCAGTTCTGCCAGGCCAACCCTGAGACTAAGGAGAAGGAAGCTGATTGGCTGTTCCATCCCTAAACTGAATGTAAGAAGGCATGTAAGTAGAGGCTGGCTGGTGGCAGACGGAGGTTAGTGGGGCAGTTTGTCCTAAGAAAGAAACACAGTTTAGGATTTTCTTCCCTCCGTCCCCAGCTTCCAAGTTTTCTTCAGGCCTCACTCACGAGTTCTCCTATCTACCACCTTTTTCTTAACTTAAAGAAGAAGGAAGCCATTGTCTTGTGAAACTTTTATTCCTTTGAACAGATTTTGCACAAGAGTGCCCACAGATCAGATCCATCTGTCTTCCATGTATGCCAGCGCTTGTCAAGGGTGGGGCCACACTGGAGAGGGTGGCAAGTGTGGCAGGAAGATTCAAAGGCAATCAAAGAAACATTTAAGTGAGGTGTGTTTAAACTTCATTTAAGTGAGGTGTGTTTAAACTTGCCAGTGTTGTTTTCCAATGTATTTCTCATCAATAAGAAATTTGGTGTGGAGCGAGCAAATTTTTATTCTGAAAGTGTGGCCCAGAGAAAAAAGTTTTAAGAACCGCTGGTCTATACCATCCTCAACACCTCCTCAATCTGTTGCTTGAGACAGGTGACTCCAGCAGAACTGCCTCTGCCAAGGCCTTGCTTTGCATCTGAAAGGGATGACAGACTCCCGTCCACTCACCTCTGTTAGCCTCTGAAGGTTCCTGCTGGCAATGATAGTATGACAGCCATGCCTGCAAGCAAAACCTTAGATGGTGAGGGTGACACAGAACACCTTGTGCTCATCACTCGCTTGTCTACTCAGACACACCTCTGCTACCAGCCGTGGGGATTCAGTATGCCTGTGAGGTCTCCATGTGTACCTGCAATCTGCCATCAGATTGGATAACCCAGAAACCATAAAGCTCAGGTATTAACACTGGCCAATACTGTGCAGTTTGGATAGGTTTTAGATATAGTCATTTGTATATTTAATTTGGTTATGCTTAGTGGGGCTTGTGTTCTTCTCCCAGGATGTGGAGCTGTGCATTCAGATTTTTCACAAGTGTGTGTGTGTGTGTGTGTGTGTGTGTGTGTGTTTTGGGCGGGGGGCAACTCTCCTTGATAACATCCTTCCACCATTCCTTCCAACCAGGCTGCTACATGGCAACTGGGTGTTCCTGCAGTGACCATGCAAAGTGCAGAGATACGTCCCGATATATGCAGTGGAGAACCCCAAACGGCTGCAGTTCCATGGCCCATCTCACCACAGGACACACATCTGCAGAAAAGCTGCAGACAACACAAATGGCATGAAGCATGATGCAGCTGCAAAGGGAAGGAAGGACTTGCTTCCTAGGAACAGGTTGGTGGCTGCTGCAAGAGAATACAGCAGAGACCGAAAGCATCGCAAGCTAAATAAGGCCAAGCTGCTCCCACACAAGAGCGTCCATACCTCATCAGAATCTCAGCTGTGCGGAATCCAATGCCGGAGCTGCCGCCAGTGATGAATGCAACTTTGCCCCTAGAAAGAAAGAAAGAAGACGTCTGAAACCAGTGGGATCCATATAGACTTTTCACAATGCATGTTCAGAAAGAGCAGCATCAGTGAAGATCACGACACATACAAAAAGGAGGAATGAGGGAAATTCAGTCAGGTCAGACCACATCAATCCCAGGCAGACCAGAGGTTTCCTGCATCCTCCACTTAGTAGATGCCACTTGTACTATGAAATGCATGTCTGAAATAGGAAGACAGTTTGCTAATATGCTAAGAGTCCGTGTTGATTTGTCACGCTTGTACTGAAACTAACTGAGGCCTCACAGGAGTCTTGTGAAGTAGATTAGGCAAAAAAATAACCACTTGCCCAATTCAACTGCATGAGCCCTCAAAAAGCAAAACCATCCAACGTTTTCAGCTGCTACAGAATACCTGTCTTGCTACAAGTAGTGGCATAAACACATACCTAATAAGGAATTCTGTTTGAGTGGGAAAATATGAACTCTCAGAAGTAAATAAAAAGCACACTGGATCTGCTGCTGGTAAAGTGGCTGTGACTAGAAATTGCACCTTTAGAAATCTTTAGAGATGAGAGCAATGTACTTTCAAGCAGGCTCAAGACATGGACATATTTCTACAAAGCAAACAGTCATTCCAAGCTTGAAGGAGGCTTATACTAGCAGGGAATGAAGAGGATAGTATAAAAAGATAAATTGAAACTGCACGAAATCCATCTTATGATGCATTGGTTTTGCCTCTGGGAGAGATATTTGAGCCCTTCATATCCTATGCCACATGTTCCTAATTTTAGTTTAAATGTGTCTCTGACAGTATTTTTAAATGGTTACATTTCCCTATCTTTGACAACATGTAAATTGTCGGTACAAAATCTGAAAGCGGGGCTCAGTAAAGATGATTCCCTGAGCTCTGAAGATGCATCTCACATCTTCCTAATATTTTATTTTTTTACAAAACACACTGTTTTGTGGCTACTCCCACTCCTACTCACTTTTTTTTAAAGAACACAAGTTAAAATAAGCAACACATCACTATTAATATACCAACACCAAGTATAAATTGACTAACACCAAAGATCAAGAGGAGCAGATGAGGAGGTAGACATAGCAGAGGTGAGGAATTAAAACCACACAGGGTAAATTAATCTAGCAGTGTTTGAGTACTTGGTAGTACTCACTTGAGAATGTCTGGACTGAAGAGGTAGGAGTATTCCGGAAGACAGTCATCAGTGTCAACATCAGGAGGAGGCTGGCAAGCAAAGCCTAGCTGGGACATGACTTCCAAGACAGTTCTGCAGAAAACAAGACACAGCCATCACAAATCCTGAGAGGGAGAAAGAACCAGCAATATTTCCATACAGCCCCAAATTACGTAATGATCACTATGCCCAGCACATGCTGCCAGCTGACCTGATCTACGAAGAAACTGCTGGGAGGCAAAGAGGTGTACTTCATATCCAAGATTACCCATGGCCAAGCAGCTTCATTCTTGACTGATAGAACTGAAGGCAGCTTCATTCTTGACTGATAGAACTGAAGGCAACTTCAAATTATCATTTCTAGTCTAACACACAAGCATACCCTCCAAATAATTAGGGGGAAATGTGAGTTTGTTAATAAAAAGATTGGAACTTAATGTTATGCACTTACTTACAGAAAAATGTTGTTAATAAACTGTAATAAAAACCATGTGCATGGATAAAACACTCAATACTATATACCAGTGTTTCTTAATCTTTTTTCCAACTGTGCCCCCCTTCCAACCTTGTTTCCTTCCTGCGCACTGCCCCCCCCCCCCGCATCCTACCGGTAGAAAGGTAGCTATCTAAATGTTTTGTTTGTAAATGTTTTATTTGTAATTTTTTATAATGTATACAAATACAATTACATAAAAATTTATACTATTTCTATATCAATGTGATCCTTGTGCTTGATGACCAATTGACTCTTGCACCAACCCCACACATACATTTTTAAAATTTAGGAGTGCTTTTTGTGTCATGCCTTCTAGACTGCAGGTCTGAAAGGGAGTGACTGTCTTGGTTTCCTTCACTGAAGTCTAAGCTGCTCTGGGAAACATTTTGGCTGAAGAGTTGGGTAGAAATGCTTTAAATTAATAAACAGAGGACGAATTTGCTTCATCAGATACGTGACAGCCATTCAAATATTTGAAGGCAGCTGATGTATCAACTCTTAATTATCTCTTCCCCTGGGTAAACATTTTCAGCTCCCTCAGCTCTAACAAGCTTTCCCTGCCAAGCTTATCAGAAAATGGTTGGATATTAGCAAATAATGCATTCCAGAAAGCAGTGGCAGATATATCTTTGGCATCCTTTTTGGTTTATTTGTCTTCCTCCACCACCAAATTATTTAATTTATATACTACCCTCTCATAAAATTCAGGGTGATGTGCAGCAACACAGAAATATAAGAAACATCCAAAACAACCTCTACTCAAGAAAAAAATAAACAATTGCATAGGCCCCTTGGTGTAAAAAAAATATTCTTCCAATATTTTTGGAAGTCAAAACTACACCTACCAGCCCATGAGAAAACCCTGCTCTACAAATTACATAAGAAGACTAACTTCCAGTGCATTTATGGAACTCTCCACCAAGCAGTAATCACATTTAGAAGCTGAAGGCACAACGGAGGTGGAAACTTCTCCAATATAGAAATTTTTAATCTGGGACTAAAGCTGAGCATTGACATTCATTTATCCTAATTATTATCTGAGCATGTGAGCCTGAACTCTGTACTACTCGCCAAACAACAGAACATTAGAAAGGAAAATGCTATAACCAGGAGGAAGTTGGGGAGAGAATATGAGACTGTACTGTTTTACCTCAATAATGTGAAAATATCTAATAAACTATAGATTAAAAATAACAAAAGCAAGGATACCTGCCAAATATTTACTGGAAGAATGTACTACAACATGGGACCAGCAGCCGAACTTCTAGCAGAGGCCAGTTCGCTCTGCAACACAAGGATCAACCCATAGTTTTACTCCAGGCAATTCAAGCCACTGGTCTTCTACTGGGTCACGGCCTGATGCAAGGTGGGTCACAGCAGGAGCACTACCATCATGCAAATATATGGCAAGATATTAAGAAAGGAGTTCCCAAATGCATGTTTGGGTTAAAAGTGGATCTTGGGTCTGAAAAGGTTGAAGACTACTGATCTAAGCAATCCAGCTGGGTTAGAAGGACTCTGGCAATCCTCATCCTTAAGGATGGCGTTGCTTAACTAATAGTAGATAGTTAATGAATTATCCAGCTTAATCTTTATATCACATCTGAAGCACTTTGCAGGCTTCATCTCATTGTGCAATCCTTACACAACAATCCAGTAAGGGCAAGTCAGTATTCTTTCCCCACATACTGCAAATGGGCTGCCTAGTAGTCAATTCATAGCACAGAAGAAATTCAAACTCATAGAGTCATTGCTCAGTCTCTCAGCTTCTATGCAACTCCAGCAGATGTAACCAGGTTTTAAGAATGGGTAACTCCCCCATTAGTCTTTCCCCTTCAATGTCTGTCTATAAGCTCTTTGAGGCTCTAAGTATTCTGCCTGCTTTATAAACTTCGTAAGGCACCAATGTGCAGCAACACTGCCTAAGCAAACCCATCAAAACCTTTCTGCTTTTAAGAGTGCTTTTAAGACATTTCCTTTCAGCAAGGCTATTTAGGATTACAGTGGTACCTCGGGTTACATATGCTTCAGGTTACAGACTCCGCTAACCCAGAAAGAGCACCTCGGGTTAAGAACTTTTCGGATGAGAACAGAAATCGCGTGGCGGCGGCATGGCAGCAGGAGGCCCCATTAGCTAAAGTGCTGCTTCAGGTTAAGAACAGTTTCAGGTTCAGAACAGACCTCCGGAACGAAATAAGTACGTGACCAGAGGCACCACTGTACTTTTAAAAATTAAAAGTTACCGGTAATTTTTAAAAAACATGCATGCTTGCTGGCTTCTATAACAAACCCTTTCTACTGTGCACATTTTATTGTTATACCATGGACATTATATTGTTATTTTATCTAGATCCCTGGGTAAATAATTTGTGAATCACTTTCTGAGAAGGCTTTCTAAAAGGCTGGGGTATCTAGGTCCATAAAATAAGAATAAAAATATTAATACAGCTTAGCATTTATAAGAAATCTTTTCTTTTTTACTCTGCTGTTTTTAGCATGCTACTGTTTTTCTGCACATATTAAACAATGCAAATCACCTTTTGAGAAGCCTTTCTAAGGGTGTGTGGTGGGGGAAGTCTATCAAACAAACAGTGACAATGCCTTTAAGTGCCTTTAGGATTAATGCTCCAGGATTACAGAGCATTGAAGCTGGAGCCCCACATGTTGTGGGGGGAAGGGAGCTGAATGGCTTTCTCAAATTTGGGAATCCGGGCCCCCCATAGAAACGCTGCAGGGGCGGCCTCTTCGCCCTCCTTTACTTATCTTCTTTCTCTCTCTATTTTCGGGGGCTTAGGGCTGTCCTAACGCCGCCGCTGCCGAATCCCCTCAGGCGGCTCAGCTCTCACTTACCTGGCCAGCCGCGGACTTCGCACGAACAACAGTATACCTGCGAGCAGCACTCACCCGCAAAGCATGCTGGGAGTTGTAGTTCCCGGCCAGGAGGCGCTCGGCCACCCAAGGGCATTGTGGGATGTGTAGTTCCTTTACCCAGCGGCAGCAAAGCCGCACGTCGTCCCCATCCTGGTAAAGCTTTCCTGCCTTGGCGTGGTCCTTCCACACAGCTGTGGGAGGACTTCTAGGCCTTGGCCGTTTCCCCCCTTTGTTTTAAAAGCCCCCAACCCTGCATAAAGCCCGCTCTAAATGGAGAAGCACATTTCCCGCCGCCCCCTCAAAGAATTCTGAGCAATGTAGTTTATCCTCAGAGGTACAATTCTGAGCAACTCTTAAGAAACTGCGGTGCCCAGGATTCTTTGAGGGGGGGAATGGTGCTTTAAAGGTATAGTGTTATGTACTGAGTTGAATAGGATCCAAAAGGCAGCAGCCAGTCTGATTGGTCCTAGAACAATAGGACCCAGAATGCAGCAGTCTGATTGGTCCACAGGAGCCACCCAATCCCTCTCCAGGTGGAAGTGAATCCGCAACCTGATTGGCCTACAGGAGAATCCTGGAATTAACCAATCACGTGGGGCCCATTGTGTAAATAATGTATGTAAAGCAGACATTCTGGGGGAACTGCCATTCCTCCTCACCGCTATGAGCTGAATAAAGAGCATGAGATCCACTCTCGACTCCAAGTATATTTCATATAGTGTGAACCATAGCCCAACTAGTTTAATGTTGTCTACACTGGCAACGGCTCAGCCATGTGAAGAAACGTATTGGGCGCTCAGGAATTAAGGAATCCTTTTAGAAGGAAACAGTGGGGTTCTTGTGGCTGATAGAGGGTAGCCCCTTTACTTTTATAAATTCTAGCAATTCTAGAAGTATCTTTTCTGCCTTGGTCAGACCCCGAATGGAGTTCTGCGTCCGGTTCTGGGCACTACAATTTAAGCAGGATGTTGACAAGCTGGAACGCGTGCAGAGGGCGGCAGCCAAGATAATAAAGGAATTAACAAAGGAATTCCTTATGAGGAATGGTTGAGGGAGCTGAGTAGGTTTAGCCAGGATAAGAGGAGATTGAGAGGAGATATGATAGCCATCTTCAAATATCTGAAGGGAGGGAGCATACTTGTTTTCTCCTGCTCCGGAAGGTAGCCAATGCCTTCAAGTTACAAGAAAGGAGATTCTGACAACATCAGGGAGAAGTTTCTGACTGTAAGAGATGTTGGACAGTGGAACGGACTTCCTCTGGACTCAGGAGGTTGTGGACTGTCTTTCGTTGGAGGTTCTTAAGCAGATGTTGGATGACCATCTGTCATGGATGTTTTGAGTTGAGATTTCTACATTGCAGGGCTTTGGACAAGATGACTCTTGGGATCCCTTCGAACTCTACAATTCCATGAATTATAGACTAGAATGCCTCTGAGTATGTGAAGAGTGCCTCTCTCATGCATGCTTTTAAAAAGGTAATCAAAATGACGAGTCTGCCAAAGGATGCACAGATGTATACGCAAAACGTATTTGAAAACCAAAACCACTCCCACCTGGCTACATTCAGAATAGGTTGGCTGTAAATAAGGCTGCAAACACACAATGCATTTAAAGAATCATGTGAACTGTAGTTCGTTAAAGGTGCTGGGAATTGTAGCTTTTTGAGGGGTAAACTAGAGTTCCTAGGATTATTGTGGGGTGAGCTTTAGATATATTCTGCGTACACACAGCCTGAAAAATTAGAGGTTTTGTTCTGTGAATGGCATCACTGTTTAAAGTGGTATCATACTGCTATAAATGCAGAATGCAAAACGCAACGGTGGTAGGCAACATTTGGTAATTGTGAGAAACAAATACGAGAGGAAAAATGCCACCTTGACAGTGTAGAAAGAGTTTTGATGCTTTTAGGTGTAATTTTATAAAGTAGAGAGTAACATAAGCATACAGGCGCAGTGGCGTAGCTTGGGGGTGCAGGGGGGGCCCGGCCGCACCGGGGGGCGCGCTCGCACTCGCAGCTCTCTGCCCGAGTGCTAAAATCCACAGGTTAGGGGGCGCAAATTACTTGCCTTGCCCGGGTGCTGACAACCCACGCTATGCCACTGTACAGGTGTGAAAACAGTCACGCACGCAGAAAGACCACTCACTGCCCAATGAATTTAAACCCTAAATGTTGACAGTGGATTGGAGAAAAGAGAATGAGGACAACAAGAATGAAAGTAATCTGTCTGTAATCACCTAGTCTCAAAATGTGTTAAAATTGGACTTCTCCAAGCTGCTACAGAAGCCTCAATTTTTGCCCATTAAGTAACTTTCAAGTGGTACTTGATATTTTGTCATCTGTAGATCGATCCTCAATTCTACCTGTGTCTTTATTATGGCTGAAAATGGTCCCCAATTATTTCACTTGAGTAAAAGACATTCAAGTTAGGTACAAAACCTCTTCAGGTAAGAGGCTCTTAAGCAGTACATTCATACTAGGAAATAATGAATCCCCTTTCCTGCACATCTGCTGCATTGAGCTTATATGTGTGTCAAGGTCTATTAACCAGAGAAGCAAAAATAGCTGCATTTATGTAAGCTGATTCTGTTCCATTAACAAGTGCAGAATCTTCTTAATTTAAAGGAGTTACTGACTTGGCAATTTGTGGATCAAGAATGACAGATTATTGTTTTCTCAAATCCTCACTCAGCCATGATGCTCACTGGGTGGCCTTGGACCAGTCACTGCCTCTCCACCTAGCCTACTTCACAGGGCTGCTGTGGGGATTAAATGAAGAGGGAGGAACCATGTACTCCACCCTTCAGCTCCTTTGAGAAAAAGGTGGGGTATCAATGCAAGAAATAGATTCCATTGTTTTCCCGGTTATTTATAATTTAGACTATAATGGCATTTTATTGGGAAATTGGAACTGGAAACAAATTAGAAAATTGGAATTGGAAACAAATTAGATTGGAAACAGTCAAGAAAAGGCAGCACTGTTTTCATTGCAAGCATTAAGGCAAATTATTTCACATTCAAAGTGCGAAGTCAGCTTTTAAATTTAGCATTCAGAATTTGCAGGTACAAGTTTGGAATGCTGCCAGGTTTTGAAATATTTGCAAAAGTTTCAGCTCTATCTGGGTCAGTTGGGGCTCCCCCCCCCACAAGTACTTCATATTGATTGATGTTCCATCTATAACCCATTCACCTTCAGGGGAGGAAACAGCTGCTTCTGGAGGGTCTCGTGAAAAACACATGTTAATTTGTTTTCTGTCAATTGATCCTTTTGTAGCAAGCGGTGAACAGAGAGTCCTCCCACCCAACCTCCCGACAAATATGTGGTTCTCAACATCCTGTCTGCAGGTTGGTTTGGTGTCATGCCATAGCCTGCGCAGTGCGACAGTGCCTTAGAAAAAATGATGATCTAGAATTCTTGGTCCAGACAATGTGATGGGGAGGCCAGGCTGTGTGTGCTCCGCAATTTTATGTTTGCTTGAATTTTACAAATGCAAAATTCGGCATTGTTTGCAAAATTCAATTCCACTCAGCTGTTAAAAACAACAGTAGGTTGTTTTTAAAGTTCAGTGATTACTAGAAATGGGCAAGTCTGTCTCATTTTTTCCAGTCTTAAAATCTGTTTGTGATAGTATATTTTTCAAAGTCCTTATGCAACTGCACCTATATTTTAGTGTGCATTTATCCTATTACTGTACACACATTTTTGTATACAATCTTGCCTAATAGGCACATTTTTTGCAAAACATCCCCTCCTAATAGAATGCATTTCCCCAATATAATGAAACCGATCATTAAAGACATGGATGAGGATTCTGCAGGAGATCTCCCCTTAATGTACTGTGTCTCAAGTCCCTACCGTTAGGAGAGTGGGGCAGCAGATCTTAGGTGCCAGGAAAAGACAGCAAATTGTTAGTTATGTAGCATCTGCTTTGCATGTCGGAGGTCCCAGGTTCCACCCCCAGAATCCCCAGGTAAGGCTGGGAAAGACTCACTGTCTGAAACCTGGAGACCTGCTGCCAGTCAATGTTGATGCCCTTCAAATGATGTTGGACAACAACTCCCATCAGCCTCTGCTAGCCAGGCCTCTGGTTGAAGATGATGGGAACTGTAGTCTCAACAACAACAAGAGGGCACCATGTTGGCTACCCCTGATGCAGATAATACCACACCCCTGTATTTCAGTAGCAGGTACAGAGAGAATTGTTTGTGATATTTATGTATTTATTTTGGTCTGTTGATATATTGCATCTTGAGTTGGGGATAGGGAGGACCCCAGGCAGCAAAATGTCTTGGACCAGCCCTGCGCCATGTGAATTAATCATAGGGTGGGGGCGGTGTGGATTTTCCCCTTTGGGTACCAAAATGCCCTGTTGAGCAAGCATGGGAAATTGTTTTCTCTGTGCCTGGTAGCACAATGCCAGACACTCATAGCTTTGCTAGTTCCTGGCAAGTGTGGGCTAGGTCTTTTTTTCCTGTAGTGGTCACCCTTCTGCACTGGGTTGTCTTGCAGCTTTTGAAATGAACAGGAAGGAAGATCAAACGAGACCCACAGCACAGGAAGAGGTGAGTAGCATTTTTAAATTTATTTAAAAAAGAATGAGACGGAAAGAAAGCAACTCAACTGAAACAGCAGCAGCAGCAATATAGAGACAAGGAAATCCGTAGTTATCTGCGTGGCTCAGTCTTCTTTATAATTCTACTTTTCTTGAACTGAGGGCATTCAAAAGAGGCTAAAATTCATCTTTGCCTTATGCAAACTGCAAAATGTTTGGAAGGAATCTTAACAGATAGAAGGTCTTACTGGAAACGACACATTCTGTTTCGATTCAGGCCATCAAGACAAGTGCATTCAAGTTACCCAGGAAGCATCCTAGTTCTGACAAGGTAACTTTGAAGCAGGTTGCAGTGGCCTTTGCTGGAAGGCTCAAAATGTGACACCTGTCTTAACAGGAAACCCCGGGGAGTCTGCAAG